TCAAACTCCAAGGTCAAGGTCAAAAGGTCAGATTTGGTGGTACTCAAAGAAAGGTCTTATCACAAGGAATATACATGTGAAATATGAAAGTCATAGCTCCACTAAATCAAAAGTTATGGGCAAGGTTAAAGTTTTTGTGACGGACGGACAGACAGCAGACAGACTGACAGACAGACGAATGAGATTTAATGTCACCTCGCTTTCGCGTAAGTGGGGGACAAAAAATATATACAATGATAAAACTTTTATAAAAGTAAATATATTACTAATGCATTTTCAGTATGTGAAATGGTTTATTGAAAAATGACAATTCCTCAGAAAAGTATTCATGCAATATTTATTTATCTAATATAATATATAAAAAAAATATTAACCAATTACACATATTTTTACCTTGATAGTACTTTAAAATCTGCATATTTTGGGGGCATTTATTTTACAATGAATTCATTTCATTCAAGGCATGGGCACTTGAAGTTAATGTAAATGTGTAGTATGTGTATGTAATCTTTTTTTTTTTATACATACACATACTATATATTTACATTAACTTCCAGTGCCCGTGATTCAAGGGGTGGATGGGTGAGTACTTTTTTCAATATTAGCCTTACTTGAGGTACAGGTAGCATTTCCTCGGGTACACCTGCCCACCGACAGGCCAACGCAGTCAAAGTTCTCTCTATAAAGTCTTCTCTGATCATTTTTCGCTTGAATTTTGCTTCCTGGAAAACAAAAGTACTCTTCTTGTTTATGACTAAAAATTCACAGCAGAGACTCAGACTGATCTTTACTTTCGTGTAAACAAATTATATTATGACGTCATAGGTCATCGCTAAAGACCTCGAGCTTGACGTAACAATACATCTGAATATTTCAGAAATTACTCTTCGTAGTAAAAAAATCAAACTTGAATTTGTATGTTATTTTTTATGTGATTAAAGTTAATTGTCATGTAACGTCTAGCCAATCGTTGTCAGACTTTAAAATATGTTTGGTTTTTTTTAATCTTCATACAGCTTTGCATTAATTATCTTTGACGTTAAGGCTCCTACTTTAGTTATCAAAATTAATAGAAAAATATTAATTTAATAAGTTGCAACTTATAAGAAAAATATCCGTTACAATCTATTACACATACAGTACATAATATTTGTCTGTGAAAATGTAACATTCTTAAAATATTTGCAAAGAACCTACTCACTGTTTCTTTGTCGGTATCAATGGCTTTCGCTTAAACCAGTATTGTGACGTCATAATGAAGTCATCGTCACGTGGCCTCTGACACAAGAACTGTAAACTTTTAGAATAATTGTAAAAGTCATACTATAATACCCCCCCCCCCAAATGAACATTACAAAACAAATATTTAGATATACTTTATTTGTCACAAAAGATCTGCATACAAGAATGAATAGTACACGATTAAAAATAATTTATCTCTGTCTTTAAAATAATAAGTTAAAGATTCAAATTTTTCATCAAAATTTCCTGAAGTCGTGGATGATAGAAATGTTTTTCTTCAGTTTTTGATTTCTCCATTAACATGAATTATAAATAATCCCATGCTATCTAATTTTAAGGATGTCAATGCCGTGTTTAAAGATTATTTCCAACTTTCTATTTTCATAGCTTAGATACTTCTATTTTAGCAGACTTTTACTGAAAACACAACAACTTGCCAAAAAAAATGAGAAGAAGGTGGTTAGTTGATTAAAAAAAATTAACTTTGACAAAAGTCACAAGAAATTGAAAAAAATTTGTTTCACTCAAATTATTTCGAAAATAAACTTGCCAAACAACGTAATCGAAAGTTACCAACAGCATAGGCGCTTGGTTACAGGATGGTGTATTTTGTGTATTATGTGTTTTTCTATGTGAGCCTGAATACCCTCATTAAAATGAAAATAAAAATTCGCCGAAATTTTCACGTTTTAATAAATGTCGTATTTACTGTATATAGAATTTTATATACAGTAAATATGGAATTTTTAAAACCTGCTAGTTTCGGCGAATTTGTATACATATATTATGTTTATTCACCAATCAAGGGCCCACGGGGGGCATGAACAATTATTACAAAATGATAATGTACTTTCAACTTGAACTTTGGACACCTTCTTTGGGATCTCTGAACATGTTACCTTCAAGTTGAATTTTGGGAATCTCAAAACATGAAACCTTCATGAGGCATCAACTGACCAAGTTTGATTGGTCCTATAGGCCTCAAAATGTAAACTATTTAATCCATATAATTTGAACCTCTATAGCCTTAAATTTCAAAATAAAGCTATGATGAACTGTTTTGGGGGTCACAAAACAAGAATCCTTACCAAATTCCCCACCAAATTTGATTGTCCTCTGCCTCAAAATGTGCAAGAAATGTACCAGACAAAATTTGAATGTCTAGAGTGTCATCATTAAGCTCCAAAATTATGCCATGACTTTGGCTCAGGTGAGCTTAAAATTAATAAAAAGGCACTTTTCAGATCAGAAATATGAAGCCCTTCATAGAATGTATTTTTTTATGGGGAATGTTTCACTTATTTGGAGACGCCACCACCTGCTGGTGGAGGACTTCAAATTCTGACCCATAGAATCGGCACTCAGGATTATTGAGCAGTGAGGGATGTTTCCTTCTACATGTAGCACCTACTGCAACACAGGACCTTGCTTTAGATGGTCACATTTAGACATAATACAAGAATTAACTCTGGTTAACAAGTTTCTCACGTAATCAAATGTCTCTGGTCCTGCTACTCCAAACGTTATGATCTCTCTTTGCACCTCTCACACCTCCCTTAGAAACTAAAATGATTATAGTTTTTATGTCCAATGTTTATGACAACAGACTGATAAAAAAAATCTTCCACAGTTTACATTTATACAAAATCTCGGTGAAGGAGTTTGTAAACATAAAATCAAAAAAGTTTTAATTTTGAATTGAGAAACCATGCAGGTTTCTCAAAACAACAATTAATTTTTGTTGAAATCTACTTGTATATTGAGCTTAAAATTCGGAAATTTTTTTCTTGGTAACGAGAAATTCTTATTTTCTATTCCTTCCTTCTTTAACAGATATCAAAATGGACGACACAATAGAACTTCAAAACAGAATCCTGGCTCTCAAAGTGCAAGAATGCATTACAAACGAAAATAAAGAAATGTTAATCAGTCTGTTGGAAGACATGTCAAAAGACAAGAGAAAAATAATTGCGGATCACGAAATACAAGGAAAATCAGCACTGTTTCTTGCTTGTGAATTGGAGGAAGAAGAAATAGTTAAATACCTGGTTGAGGAATGTGATGCTGATGTTGAGCAGAAAGGGTTGATAGACGACGTCATGTATAATGTTCAGGTAACACCACTATGGATGGCAGCCGAACGTGGTTCTTTCGATACCGTCAAATGCCTAATTGAAAATGGAGCAAGTTGTAATAATATGTCACAAGGTGGACTCTCACCATTGATGGCAGCATGTCAAAGTGACAGTGCAGATATTGTATATTTCCTTTGCAATCATGGCGCAAATGTCAATAAGATTTCCGAGGCAGGGGATACTTGTTTAAGGAAAGCCGCCGGTAACCCTGAACTTTGCAAATTTTTTATATCCCAAGGATCAGATGTCAACCAGAGAGAAAAAGGACAGTATCCTATCCTTCATCTAGGAATAAAAAGCAAACATCTGGACTCTGTTAAAGAAATGTTACGAGCGGGAGCAGACCCAGATGCAGTTGATTTTGAAGGAAACGACGCCTTACAATTTGCAGCCATAGTGGCTGCTGTGGATATTGTTCATTATTTAATTGAAATGCTAGAGTATGACACAGAGAGGATTTCTAAAACCTACAAATTACTGGGAGCATGTGCTATTGCCAAAGAAGATATCAACACTGGAGTTGAACTCTGGCAAAGGGATATTGAGTCTGGGGGCTCAGAGGTGACACGGGAAACTCCATTAAACGCTATTTACAGAGGAGTCACCGAACCAAAAACATTGTCGGATTTGAAGGAGTTAAAAAATTGCAGCAATGACTTAAGTCTGGCTAGCTTGATTGTATTAGAAAAAATACTAGGAAAGACTCACGGTGAAACAATCCATCAGATATTAATGTACGGAACCACTTTGTCTTATGACGAGATTGGGGAAGATTCAACAAGAATTATCTTATACGCCTTTGATTTACTGAGAGAAAAACACTCTGGACTTCACAGAATGACAGAATACGCATTGTCTCAGGTTGTACGCTGTTTATTTGATATATATCGAGAGAGTATTATTGATGAAGATATCGATACACTGTCTTTACATCAATTACACTTAGACGTATTATCACGTATTGTAGACTTTGTAGCCAAAAGCCAGACTGAAATGGAGAACAACAACAGCAAGGAAAAACAGTACATGTTTACTACTTTACTGGAAAACACACTGAATATAATCTTTCTGTTCTCGGGAAGAGAACTTAGCGAAGACGAGGATGGAAAGTTTGAATCATTGTTGTACCGCTTAGTACGCGCAAACCCACACGACTGGGAAAATCGAAGCCTTCTCCATTTAGCGCTCTCGAGAAAGCTTGATAGAAAAATAATATTTTTGATGTCACAAAATTGGAGAAATTGGTATGTCTATTTAACGGAAGTTTTGTTACTCCATGGTGTTGATGTTAACGACCGCGACAATGAAGGAAATACACCATTCCACGTTAGTGCTGATCTATATACGCAAAATTGTTTTGAGAGTGAGATCAAGCTTTTTCTTGACGCAGGTGGTCACGTGGATGCGGTGAACAATATTGGTAAAACAGTTCTGGACTGTCTGAGAGAAAACGGCAAAACAGTGTGTGAAGTTCGGTATACGTCTTTAAAATGCCTAGCATCTCGGGCAGTAGTTCGGTATCGAATTTCACTTCCTCATAACATTCCAAAACATGCATTGGATTTGCTGAATATTCACGGACTGAAAGCAGAGTGAATCAATCACCAAAGAATGACAGAAGGTATTAATGATGGTCGGAGCATCCATTGAACTGGATCCCGCTCCTTATCGACACTTTTTATTTTTCATACAATAAATTTACTCTTTCCCCATTACTAATTGCTTACGATGACATTCTATTCAGTATCGGAAATACCAATGATTTGTGGATTTGAATTTTTCGACACAATATCAAAATATATTTGAGAGTCGAAACTTTTTCCATTGCTTTTACCATAACAAAATTTCCAAATCTTCGTCTGTTGCTCCTACACAACACTATATTTCCCTAAAGAAATTATGTACCTAATGTATATACTTAAGTCCATGTGACAATCGAAGAATTTCATTTTTCTCTTTTTGTAAAATTTTTAAAAATCTGTTACATCAATAAGTTTAAAACGCTGCATTGCATTTTATGCAATATTGTTTGATCATTTTCAATCATTTTACTGAAAACAACTATATGTATGTACAACAAAGAACTTGAAATCAAATGACTTTATGTGTGGTTTCTTCAATTTCACACACTCGACATTTAGATATATTGATAACTATTTTTATTTGCTTTTACCTATATCCCGACAAAATTTCCATTCAACTTCACTTTAACACACCCATGTCATCTTCATATGGGGTTTATTTCTCAGTTGATTCGATAATCTAGAGCATGGTCTACGTATGAACAATTTCTAAATCGAGGTATATTAATGACAATTAAGTTAATGAAACAAGAAAATCAGCAGTCTCGTAAAAGTCAACATGTCGTACGTTCAATGGTCGATACTATGACCTTGTCAGCAAATACAATCTATCATTTAATCAAATGCTGACTGACGTTTTTGACCATTATTTAACACACCGAAGTCTCGACATTCTTTCTCCTCATGACAAGGCACACAGCTGGTGTGATTCCTCCTCCACCACCTATTCCACCTATGACGTATTAAAAGGTCTCCGTTTGCTCTGCTGCTGATTTTTATTATTTAATGGTATTTTAGGTTGTTCGTTATGTAAGGGTTAATGTACGAGTAGCACCCCATTCCTTAAAATATATTCATTTCGCCCCGTATTTAGTAGACCTATTTTTGAATTATATGGAGTCGGGTACGAAGTTCACTGTCTATCAATGCTTTTGTTTAGATAAATTTTAGTACAAATTTTTTGCCTTACTTTCTTTCTCTTTATATATAAATTAAATACTACTTAAATACTACATACTAATATTTAATGTTCGTATATTAATAATGTATTGATAAATTTTCTTTATTATATATTAAAGGGACATGGACACAGTTTTAACTGATTTTTTAAAATCAATTTTAATGTTTACAATTCCTAATTAAGGCAATTAAAATGATCAGCATAAATTTGAACATCATTTCTTGATTTACAAAAGAGATACAGAACTTAAAATTCTTCATAATGTAAACTGGAGTCGTGCCCTGTTTTTGTTTACATATAGCAAATATCATATTTATATATCAAAACAAGATTCAATAAATCACTAAAAACTGTCTAATCGTAATATATTTAACCTATGTAAACAAATTCATGACATGAATCTTGCTTACATAACAAAGGTTTGAAGTTCTAGATCTGTCTTGTACCTCGACGACTGAAATTCAATTTTTTGATAATCATTAAAAATACCTTAGTTAAGTATTTGTTAACATAAAAAATGGGAAAATAGATTTAATTTTTTTTTTTTTTAGCTGAAACGTGGGTTAATATACTAGTACTCATACCACTCCATTCTCTGAAGTTAAAGTCATCAAGTTTATCATAAATCTACATGTATTTATTAGAATACCATTAACGTCCTTTTCTAATAAAATATCCAAATATGAATCAGATTTATCAAACTGTTGTATTTTTCTATTTCAAGCTCAGCGGAATATATAGAGTCGACATAAGAATGTTGATTGACATAATGTCGTCGACATATGTAATAAATTATGTTGTATTCAGGATCAAAAGTCCATAAAACAATACAAAATAGGACAAGAACAAATACGGACCTAGCTCAACAACATCAGGGGTGGGATCAGATGCTATGGATGAGTAAGCACCCCCTGCCGACCGGTCACATCCGCTGTGTGCTCCTTGTCATGATCGAGAAATAACGGGAAAAAACCCGCCGTCAATTCAGTGTATAAATAATGGACTAACAATTAGTATGAAAAATGTCACTCAGCATTTAACTCAATGATAAATTGTTGACAAGGTCATTGCATCGTCAAAGAACTTACTAAATGATGATTTTGAAAGAAACTGCTGATATTCTTGTCTCATCAACTTAATTACTTGTTTGTCAATAATATAGAAATTGTTTATACGTAGACCATGCTCTTGCGTATCGAATCAACTGAAATTTATAAACTCCGTATACAGGTGATGAAGATATATTGTATATTGGTGCATAAATAAGGGAAGTTGACGATTGTCAAGTTACAGTCATCACGTTTATCGTAAAGCTTGGATGTTAGATAACCATTAACGTCTTTTTCAAGTAAAATATCCAGATATGAAACAGATGTGTCAGACTCTGTGGTATCTTTTATCTCAAGCTCAACAACATCGACATCAGAATGGAAATTGCCATTGTTAATTGACAATACGTTGTCCATATATCTAAATGTCGAGTTGAAGGCCAAAGCAAGTGTTTTCTTTTCACGTATGAAAGATTTTTGATGAATTCTGCTTCATATGAATACAAAAATAGGTCTGCTAATAACAGGACGCAATTGATACCTATGAAAATTTCAATAGATTGTTGGAAGACTTGGTCTCCAAAAACCACATAGATATCGTCAATCCGAAACTCAAGCATCTTTTTGATGTCAACTTTGTGTGTACAATTAGAATGTTTTTTAACAAAGTAATTTTGCAAATGACCAATGACAAGGTATGTAAATTTTTTCCATTTTTATTGAAAAAGCAGCTGTCAATGATATAAAAAAGCCTGGACTTTAATTTATCGTTGGGAATGGTTGTGTATAAAGTTGAAAAGTCGTAAGTTTTCAAGCTGTTGATTTTGGTATAATCTTGTGATTTTACGTAATATAAAATGACATTAAAATGGTACATCTTTTAAATAAAACCAAAAACAACATTAAAAAGGCAGAATAAATTCTCATGAAGCAAAATTCAAGATTATTGCATATAAGAAATAGTTTGTGAATGAAATGTACTTTAGTATATCCCCCCTTCAAAATGTAACTTTCATGCAAAAATCTGTAGAGTTCTTAAAAACAGTTTTGCCTGATAAATAGGTACTACAGATGCCAATCTTAATTCAATTTTTAAAAAAACCTCTTCGAAAACTGTACCTAGTCACTAAACCATCATAAAAGTACTGAAAGTACTCATGGGAGTTGAACATGGTACCTAATCTGAAAGATCTCACAGGCAGTAGAGGAACATTTTCATGCTTTCAGATTTAAGTCAGCTAGAACTAATTTGTTAGAGATACAACACGAAACATTAAAAATAATTTCAATTGCATTTGAATAGCAAAGATCATGGGACTGCTTTGAAATTACCTGCAGAACTTTTGCTTTCCGAATAAAATATTTTGATAGACCGGAGAGCTACAGTGTCACCCATTGAAAAAAAAACTGTATATATTTACTGAACACAAAAAAGTGCGTGCGCTGGTTCTCGATTTATTTTTCCATGTTTTTTTTTTTTTAACTGTCACATCAAAATATTACTAACATGTTCTAAAATATTCTTTGACCGTTTCCACAAAAAAAAAAACAAAAAACATTCGTTATAATTGTTCTTAAAAGCCCTTCAGCCCCTTCTGGCTTCAAAATTGAGATCATATAAAATGTCGTTTATTTATGCTGCGCTGCAATTTTGGTTTGCAAGATAATTTGGTCCACCGCACTTCGTGCAAATGTCAAATATAAGCGAACTTCAAAGAGGAGGAAGAGATTTTTATAACCAGAATCCAAAGTAAGCTTGGTAGCTCTTATTTGGATTGAAGGAATGCAAGATTGATAGAGATAGGGCTTAATGTTTTACTGAAATGAAACTTGTCCAAAACTTTAACTTGGATACTCATCCAAAAAAGTCTAGGTCGAGGTTGAAGGTATTACCCTAGCCCCTAATTTCATTGAGGAGACGAATTCGATTGTTTTTGATAAATCAAATAAAGGCAAATCAAAATAAAAATTTGAAACTGAAGAGCAGACACAACATGCAGTCATGCAGCACTTGCATGAAAGATGCATGTTACCTGGTACCCCAAATCTGGGACCTCATGACAAACAAGAGCCGCCATGCGGCTGCCCTCTCCATCCCCACCTACCCCTACCGTGCTGCGGTTCACCGCACCTAAAACAGAAAATTAGATCCACCCTGTTATTACCTGGTAATCTATTTCATGTAATTCGTGACAAACCATGGCTGCCATCCGTCCCCCGGCACTGTCTCCTCCCACCCCCACCGTGCTCTCATTTACTGCACCTATTTATAAAATAATATTGACCAATCAGAGAATACCTGGTATTCTATGCCTTCTACATAGTGGCACACCATGGCTGCTGTCTGACCACCAGCACTGTTCCCTCCTACTCCAATATTGCTTTCACTACTGGCACCTGTTAAAGCACTTTGTTAGTACATGTATAGTCAAACTTGTGCACACCCTGACTAGTTATTGTGAACGGTTGCTTATAATGAAGCAGTGCATATAATCCCATTTCAGAACTTGATACAATAATCCTAAATTATTATGTACAATAAATTAAAGTTTTAAATAAAGCCACTACTAATAGGTAAAATAAATTAGAATTTGTTGGCATTAATCTTCCTACAGATAGATTTTAGAGTCATGACTCTAAGAAAATAGGGTCTATTTTTTCTTCACATCACTATACAATTCAAACATTCTGCTCATTGTTAAGAAATAAACATTACTAAAGCATGCCAATTGTGACAAGTAAGCCATTTAATCATAGGCCTGGGAAAATTGAAAAACCATTTTGTGTGTGTGTGTGTGAGGGTGTGTGTGTGTGTGTTTTTTTTTTTTTACAACTAAGTACATTTAGTATGACAGAATTTTAGAAGTCTACAGACTGAGACTTTCTCTGATTTTGGTCATTGCAACCAAGTATTTATTTCCATTCTTTGAAGAACTATCTGAGTTGGCATTTATATTGTTCCCAAGTGGCTGCACTTTTTGTAATGCTAAATCCTCATAGAATTTGACTTTGCTGCCATGTCAATATACCAGCTTACTTTTGGCAAGGATCCCATCAAGAAGAAAGATTGGGAAAATGAACTACTTTCAGAAAGAACTTAGTCTGAAAGACTGTTTTTTGTATACTGGGATTTGAGATGCAAAAAATCATGGAAGTACATGACTATAAGATAAAAGTGTATGCACAACAGTATCATTTTACATTTATCATGTACAAGTTCATTAAAATACCAGAGTCCCTTCAAAATTTATCTGATATATATATAAACTGTAAATAATTAATGCACATCCATAGACGATTTAAATTATATGTAGGACGTCCCTTCAGGTATACAGTGTAATGACAAAATATTTTAAACCTGCCTGTGAATAGAAAAATGGATCTATCTAAAGAGTAGACAAATATGTGAGTCATTTATACTGATTTCACATTTCACACAGGTGCATCATCCTAATAAATATGTACAGTGTATACCCTTCCTCATTTTAGCTTCAACATGTATTGAGTAAAACATTGTATGTAATTATAAGTTTCAAGACAGCTATCATCTACCGCAGAAGGGCTGGCTTCCTGTACAATTAATGTATTGCATTTTAGTCAGAAATCTTTATCCTGTATAGTGACAGCTCTGGTTAATTTTTTGAATCAGTTAAAAAATATAAACTCAATTTCTTTTAATTTAGTTTGAAAATTTTTAGATTACCTAAAAGACCTTTGTTCATTTTCACCCAGCGGACAACACAAATGGCATCTTCGTGGTTGGCTGGCCATTTATGTTCCGGAGCAAGACGATATTCTACATTGACCACCACACAAGGGGCATCTCTACAAAATAATAAAAGAGAGATAAACTGACCATCAATAAAATAAAAGGGCATTCCAATATATATTACATGAAAATACTTCAAAATGTATGGCCTAGCCTGATTTCTACACTGCTATGAATTCTATGATGTTCATAGAAAGGTGAAATAACTTATAAAAGCAAGTTGAACATAAATTCCCTGTCTAATAAAGCAGGCTGGCAAACAATAAAACATTGTATTTAGGTCTTTAATCACTGTTTGTTATTGAATGATCCTTAAAGCATACATCCTGTTATGTTTAATCTACAAAGTTTACTATACTTCTTTTGACTGACTTAAAAAAAGAAGTCATACGAACATGCATACAGTGTTTCACAATGCTCAAGCAACAATGGACAAAAAAGAAGATAGCAAAAGGTCATCTGAGTGACTCAAATAACCTAATAATAATTGGCAAATTAATTAATATTTTATTAACCACATCCATGACAAAGAGCATATGGCAGGGGATGTTCAATCCTCCATGACACTTGATCCTACCTCTGGTATACTAGAGGTATACACACTGTCTTTTATTCATTTAATTAATATCAGCCTCCTTTATAATAGTGAATATAATATAAATAAATCTTGACTAAATTCATTTTTCTCTCCCCCCTCCAAATTATTATGCAAAACCTTAACACAACTTGGAATAAAATCCTGAAGTGAAATTTGCCAAGATGATAAATTTAACCCACAAGTTACAGACAGACTATAATTATAACTTGAGATGGTCACTGAATAAAAAAATCAGGGGCGAAATAAAAATTATGTACTTTAATCTATTAAATAATTATTTGAATATCTTTCGCTCTAGGTGACTAAACCCTGTCCTGATAACAGCCTAAGGTGCTGAGATTAAAGTTGACCCCCCCCCCCCACCCCCCAAAAAACTTCTCATTTGTAGCATTGAACACACACATGCTGTAAACAAATGTCAGTGAACCCAATGGTTGCTGGCTGATTCACGAGATGATAACCAATGTTGTTGGGTTTTTTATTGTGAAAAATGTAAACCATGTCAATAACTCTGCCGTATATCAAACTCTGCAATGGATATGGATGTTTACAAATAAAAACCTTAACGTCATGTCAGAAACAATCAAACATTACAGATATTTGTTATATGGATGTTTGACAGTCGCGGAACTATAATGAACAAATTCCTCAGACAAGAGCTGAGTAACATAAAAGCAGTATGGGTTACTCAGGAGATATCTCTATTTCGGGAAACACTGAGTTTTCTTATCTTTCAATCATCATCAATGCAAAGATTTAAACAGGATAAACATTGATGCTACACACATAAACAAAATAAAATGTGAATACCTTTCAATGTTTTATGATAGTAAAAAAAATGATAGATAAAGAAATGTAATAAATTGATGCATTTTATTAAGATTAGGAACACAAAATGGGTTGATGATTTGTGGAAGTTTCACACACCATGTTTATGCATTTAAATTATGAACACAATACAAGATTCTTAAGGCTAAGCATGCAATTTTAATATTCTCTTTCTCAAAATTAATTTTTTAAAATGCAAAATTATAATCATTGTTATTTTAATTTTTTGGCTTGGGCACCTTGAATGCTTTGAATCTGTAGGATTAATATGATTAAGCTCAATGGAAATACTAATTTAAAAGACATTCTAAGGCATGGGTTTACAGATAGCACAGAAAAACTATCAACAACTACAAATCGGAATTGGCAATTTCATTGTTGGTTTGACCTTTCATTTGGTTGTTTTATATGATCATTATGTACATGTAAATTTTCATTCTCATTGACCTGCCAAACAATGTGACAAATGCTGAATATTTCATGTTTATGCATTTTGAGTTGGGTAAATTTCATTTTAAATTATTTTTATCAATGCAAAGAACATCTTAATTCTTTCGGTCAACAATTAAAAGCTTCTACGAACTGAAATATCAGTGATACTTATAGGTCAAAACTATTCTTGAAAATTTCGTATCAAATGCATGTATGGAAATGGAACTATTCATGAAATTCTTGTTTAAAAAAATTGAACACTATATAAGGTTGACTACTAACTGAAGCTTTAAATCACTGTATGAATGATATTTTCTGTTGTTTTACTATCTAGATCTCACTCAAAATTGCAAAATACAGTAATTAAAACGTTGTTGGGACAGAGAAAAACATTGATATACCTGAGTACATATATTCAAGTTATGAATGTAAAAAGACTTAAAGAAGAAGTGTTTGTGACTTCAAGTTCACTTCAACATATCCAGGTATCCGAGATATCAGTGTGCAAGATAATGAAGTTCAACTGTGGTGACATATCCTAAATTGTCATTCATTTTTAAAATGCTACTTTAAGTTGTTGAAGATTCCCAAATGTAGAAAACAATCATCATAGGGTTCAATGCTTGTTACTTATTCAGTAAATTGCGACTTTATAGATCAACTACTTTTTTTTCATTTGAGAATCCTTATTTGATTGTTCAAAGGTGAGAGGAGGTTCCATTGGCTCAACATTCATCAAATGGTGGCAATAGAAGGAAAGAGACTTTTTTAAAGGAGTTTCAAATCCTCTATTGAGAAAGTGAAAAAAAATTATACTAACCAAAGATTTACTAGCATTCCTACCTGGAGAAGATTCTGCAGATTGTGTCCACAGTTTGTCTACATCCCACCACATTTCCCCCTCCATGGAAGTACACAAACACAGAGGGAGCCACACACAAGTCACATTGCTTAGATCTGTACACTGTGATTGGGATTCCTGAAAATACAGTTAAAACTAAATTTAAAGATGTTTACTTTGTAATTAAAAAAATTTTCAAAAAGGTAATTCAAAAGCTTTAAACATATGCTTGTTATAATTTCCACCTAAAAAAAAATTCTATTGGGGTTTCCGTATTATCATTAAGGAAAACAGAAGACAAAAATCAAAGAATACCAATTATTCATAACCATAAGACATGTTTTATATCAAGAAATCAAAATGGATAGCTTTATAATTATTCAACTAAAATGAAGAAAGGATGCTCATTACTGAATATCAAAAGATGAAAAACCCTTTTATCAGGCATATACACATGTATTAAAGTAAATGATGTATCAATTGCAGAACATTCACCCATCTAAAATAAAGAAAACATCTGCAAGAAGGAGACAAACATTATACTATAGACTTAAACTATAGGATGTAAGTTAACCATACTACCAATACCTAATAAATGGACACGCCTACTTATAAATAAAAACATCAATCATAAAGAAAACAGGCAAAATGAATTTTTATCAAAAAGAAAACAAAACATGCATGATTGTTAAAAATAAAATTTTATAAGTAATGCATTTATTTACTCACATTCCACTTTTAAAACAAACAGTAAATGGCTGAGAACTTACCATCGCTGCACTGTTTTGATGGAACTGTGAATTCTTTCACGGTGCCTTCAAATTCCGTCGTGCCAGCAAACCTTTTAGCGTTCGCAATATTACCCTCCCTCGCTTCCTCTACCGTGAGTTGATCATAAGGTTTTGCTCCGGCCTCGGCTCTTAATTTGAAATAATTCTCCGTTTCTGAATGTATTTTATACTTTGGTTTAAATTTATCAAAAGACATTGTGTTTGAGGACTGACTGCCTCTTTGCTGCACCGATCGATAGTTTCTGCAAATCTGTGAGAGCTACTTCCGCTATTACTTTTATTTAGGGAAAGTCTCAAAATACGATATAATTGATATTTATGCCTCTGGCTAAAATATTTATTTATTACTAATTTACTATGTCAATTACATGATTTTTAAACTGGTTAACTGTTTCAACCTTTAAGTATAGAATTTATAGGAATAAATCATTACGAACTGAAGATTATTAATGAATTTAGAGATACTCCCTAATTTTATTACTTTCACTTTCACTAGTAATACACGATGGACGTGGTAGTCGTAGGTAGCTGCAATATAGATCTTGTGAGGCAAGTAGTTAGTACCCATCATATAAGTGCTTAAATATGTAGTAATGAATTTTTGTAAAACA